ACTGAGCAGAGGACATGGTAGGAGGACATGTCACAATTCTCTCCCTAGTTCATAAAACTTGTCAGGAAGGAGGCCGCTCATTCCGAAAACCCTTCCACACGACACCAAACAACATTTTCAATTGTTTTACTCAAAAGCGTAGCACGGAGAAACTGCAAACAAAGGATAATACTGATGTTTAAGTGGCCCACTTTGACAAGCAAGGCCCCATCCCCCTGGCTAAGCACCCTACCTATGTCAAGTCTCTAACTCCTCTGCTCCCTTACTCACTTGTCTATGTGGCAGATGCCATTGTGTCACCGTGGCCTACCTGCCACACGATCAAGATTTTTCTAATTGTAAGAAAAACAATCTCCGGAGCATGCAGAAAAACACGCACTGTGCAATCATCACATTTTGGAAATGGGGGCCCAGAGAGGTATTTTCCATGAAAAGTAATTTACATTTTTCAGCTACAAATGCATCTTTTCTTCTAAGAAGAATCATCTGTACAACAGATTTGTGTCTGAAAATAGAAGACTGGATTTATGCAAAAATGATCTCAGGGGATCATCACACAAATACAAAAAAGTAATTTTCTGCCAAAATTATACAGAGCACTCACAAGAGATGTTTTTTAAATATGACCACTGAACGTATAAAATATACAAATGAAATAGAATTAATACAAACCAAGAGTTCGACAGTGATCTTAAATTAAAGAGTTTGAGCATGTCAGACAAAACATCAGAATAAAATTCTTGAGAGTTTAAAAATTACAGAAATGTCAAAACCTATATATTTCACATTAAAAGGAGCATCTCTTGCTTTTGCAAGAATTGGCTTCTCTGGTTTATTTAAATATGTCACAAATACACTGGTAGTAGTTAATTCTCTAAAATTCCCAAACTGTGTTAATCTGCCCAAATATGAAATTGTTACTATGACTTCAGTAAATGTGAGTTGAATTACAAAACTTTATAGACAACAGTTTAAAAGAAAGAACTCCACAAACCCAGAATCATGAAACCAATTATAAGTATTGGCTCCAGAAAAGTACCTTAACATAGACACCAATCTAGAACACTTGCAAATCAAATGACAAAAGAATCAGGGGCCGTTTTAAATTACTCTATCATAAAAAAAGAAAGCAATTGCAAGTAGCTCTGAGACAAGGGCTGATACATTTGGATTCTGAGTACCAGCCCTGACCTTGACTATCATGTGACATTAGGCAATTTGTTAACATTTTTGAGGCCTCAGTTTCATTATCTCTGAAAGACGAGAGCTATTCCAATAAGTCTCCTAGATTCCTTCTAGACTGAGCATCCAGTACATAACAAATACAACACAGTAAGATTAAGTAAAAAACCACTCTTTAGTTAATTTTGAAGAGGTCAGATTCTACCTATGCTATAAGAAGGAACCAAGAAACACTTCAGAGGCCCCCAAAAGCCACATGGCACTTTTTCTTCTCCTAGAAGATAGGAAATAAGTTCCATTTTACAGACAAAAAAGGGAGCAGGAGACAGAGAAAGTCCCGCCTCTATTTGTCTTGACTTTGACGTTCCACACGCAGCCGCTGCTTATGTTGGTTGTCATCCTTTGATTTCCACTGTAGTTTGCAGCACGAGGGTCATGGGGTAACCTCCGCCTTCAAGAGTCTTACGAGCTCTCAACCCCCAGGCCAACAGTGCCTATGTATCTGGCAGGTTTTCTCTGACAGTTTCCAGCACTTGGCAAGAGAAGATCGAAAAGATGCAGAATAATGTCAACTCGAATAGTAATCTGTTAGGTGAATGGTTCTGTTGCTTACTACACAACAGTAGGTTATGGTTTCATAGATCATGTTCAATGTGCAATAGATTTTTTTTTCAACCATTCATATTAAACTGGTGTAAATGTTTTTATTCCTTGCCACGTTTCTGGGTGGTAAGCTTAGGCTCTCCCAGGGATTTGTTTGCTTTAAAATGCCATGCATCTCCAGGCAACCTTACCTCATAAAAAAATGGGCATGTCTTCTAAATGAATTTCCCCTTTTTTTGCAGTTAATAACTAACCAACACAGCAGAAACACACCATGTGTGAAGCCCTGTCTACTCTAGGTGTAAATCACATGCCCAACGTCCTGTAATTCATTCTGAATACTGTAACTCCATTCACTCAACATGCTTTGCCCTGCTCTGACAGGCATTCCTACCATCCAAAATCTGTGGGGAACTTGATTCCGATTCAGGGTCTTGACCTGGGAAATGCATTTAATTGTGGGGAAGAAAGTGGGAAGGGATGTTTTTAAAAAGCATCCCAACAAAACCTCTGATTCCCTTTTAGTAGCCCTTGCCCTTGGATAGCCTTAGGAGTGGACAATGGTGGAGGCAAGGTCAGCTATGACCTATTGTGTCTTCCATCCTGCGTCCCACCTCTCCTTTCCAGTCTCTGCATTCACTAAAGTTCATACTTAGCCAGCTGAAAACTCATCTCCCAAGAAGCCAGCTGATAAGGAACGTGTTAAGTCTGTACTCCTCCTTGAAATGGGTTCTTAGAGATGGGAACTCTTGAGTCTAAAATACCTTTAGGATTACAAATTATTAAAATGTAGTATGGCTGCTCAGTGAAGCAGGCAGGCTTTGAAGTCAGCCAAAATAGCTGGCCTTACCTGTCAGCCATAACCTTTAAAAATGTACAAACCAACAGCAGTGCTTCTCCACTGGGCAGGAAAAGGTTCCAAATCTATCCCCTCTCCCCCATATACAGAGCCAGCTGTTCTACAATCTCTGTTTCTAAGCTCCTAGTAGTGGGGGAGTGGGGGAGTGGAGGTTTAGAGAATTAGGCAGGGAATAGAGGAACATAAGCTTGCCAAATCCTTAGTTCTCTCTCCCAGGCCTATGGGAGTGACCCACAGGGTCAGAGTTGGTTTCCTAGACTCAGTGTAGGTCCTATCCAGTCTTCCAGAATCCTTTAGACCAGTGAAATTCTTCAGTAAGGGTCCAGACAATAAATATTTTAGGTTTTTGAGCCATATAGTGTCTGTTGCAATTAATCAACTCTTCATTGTAGCATGAAAACAGCCATCGTACAGACAATGCACAAACAAGTGTGCACAGCTGTTCCAATTAAACTTTTTCTTTTTCTTTCTTTCTTTCTTTCTTGCTTTTTTTTTTTTTTTTTTTTTGTTAACAGTACTGGGGATTTAACCCAGGGCCTCATACATGCTAGGAAAGTAGTCTACCACTTGAACCACATCCTCAGCCCCAACTTCCCCCCAACTATTTTGAAATAGTGTCTTCCTACATTTTCTTCAGGATTGGCCCCAAACTTTTGATCCTCCTGCCATTGCCTCGTAGGTTGCTGAGATTACAACCAGGTGTGCACCACCATACCTAACTCCATAGAAGGGGTGAATTTGATTAAAGAACATTAAATTCATGTATGGAAATATCACAACAAAACCTTTCATATAACTAAAATATTCTAATACAGAAAAAAGTCCAAACAATTAAAAATAAACTTTATTTGCAAAAACAGTTACATTTTCCTGCCTCTGTGCTGTCTAATAGAAATATAAGCCATGAAAATAATTTAAATTTTCCTAGCAGCCACATTAAGTAAAAAGAAACAGATAAAAATACTTTAAATAATACAATTAATGTAGCCAAATTATTAGCCTTACAAAATATAATCAAAATAAAATATTATTGACCAGGTACGGTGACTCATGCTGTTATCCTAGTGACTCAGGGAGCCGAGATGGAAAGGACTGTGTCTCAAGACTAGCTTGGGCAAAAAGTTTGAGAGACTTCATCTCAACCAATGGCTGCATGGTGACGCCCACCTGTCATCCCAGCTATAGCAGGAAGTGTAATAGGAGGATCTTGGTCCACGCCAGCCAGGGCAAAAAAATCAAGATCTTATCTCAAAAAGTGCTAGGCACATGGCTCAAATAATAGAGTGCCTACAAAGCCCTGAGTTCAAACCCTAGTACTACCAAATATATAAATATATATATATATAAAATATATCATATAAATCTGATTATTGATGTTTTCAATTCCTTTTTCTACTAAGTCTCTGATGTGGATTTTATGCTTACAGAGTATTACAGTTTGCCTCATTTCAAGTATTCAGGAGCCACGTGTGGCTAGAAATTACTGTACTTGGCAGTACAGATCTAGACCCTCCATCACTTTGTCTATCTGAGGAGCCATGTGGTGGAACAGGAGGGTCCTCCTGACCACCAGAGGGCCACCTATATCATCTCCTCCAGAGGCCAATCCCAAGTCATGTCACATCTGGGACATAGCAGAGTCACAGCTGCCCACACAATGACCAAGCAATCACCAAACTTCAGCAGAGAAGAAAGTTTAGAGGTAACATTCTGATAATTAGCTTGTCTCTCTAGCAGTCTTTTTTTTTTTTTTTGAGGTGGGGTAGTCAAAAAAGTAAGCTAAATTTAAAGGTATTTGGTAACAACTGAATACTAAAAGCATTTTCCCTAAAACAAAAACAAAAATCTTTCCACTGCTGAATTTTGTTTCCTTTCCCCTCTTTCTCCTCCTCAAAATCTCATTCTATAGCCTCTAAAAGTTTTCTCACTGGACTGTATGTAGAAAGCCTCTTCCCACCACCATCAACAGCACTCTTACTATTAAAACACCACTTTCATTTTGACAAATGGTCAGGAAAAGTCACTGGTAGCAACCTTATTGGCAGTAGGGCCCCAAACAATGCCACTTCCCCATCTCTGCTCCTGTTATTTAAACATCCTCCTCCTCCCACAGACAAAGGCTTGTTCTGTAGGCTGGGAGGAGGAGGGAGTTGAGAGAACTTTCACTACAATTTTATTGTAATAAAAAGCCATCAAGACATTTGCTTTCTTCCCGTATGTTTTCAGCTTGCACAAGATTCTTTTTAAAAGCATTTTCTAAAATGTGCCTAAAGTAATCTTTTCCACAGGGAAACACAAACCCAACAAAACAGCCCTTTGTTTCAACTAACATTTAGCAAATAGAAAATAGAAATACCTGGCACAGGGTCTTGAGCTTAAGGAAGTTGAGGGAGCCAAGCTAACTTTCTCACAAGGCCACCATTTCACCCATGAGAGGACCTGAGCACCCACTAATCAATTTCAGCGTGGCCTGCAATACCAGCTGCCATGACTTCACTAGTTCCTACAGCCAATAGCTATAAAAGATCCCTCTGGGGAACTGCGGAAGAAAACCAAGAGTTCTCCTATCCCATGACAGATCTGCGCTCTGCCAGCAGCACAGATTGGAAAGCACACTGCACCAGCAGTCAGGAAACTTCCATCGCTGTGAGTATTCAAGGCTCAGCTCCACTGCCACTCAGCAAGTATACTGGGGGTAGGTGGACACCTCTAGAGAAAGAGGCAGCATTGGCTAAAACTTCTTTCAAGACAGACTTTGAATCCAGGATTCAGGAAGACCAATTCCTCTAGACACTATCTGAGTCACCCATAAGGTGACTCATCAGTAAACAGGAATAATACAATCTCCCTGGAAGGGTTGTTGCAAAAAGAAAAGAACACCACAGAGTACAAACACATATGACACACAGATGACACACGATTTCCTTATCTGTGAAATCGATGATGGTACAAGATGACCTGCAGGCTGGCTAGGGGTGATGCCCCTGGCCCCACAATCCTACCCCTGCAAGTCCTTCTTGCTGGTAGAGTCATTCTTTCTCTACCTCACCCTCCTTTCACTCTCAGGTATGGGTATGTGATGAATCATGGCCAATAGGACACAAAGGCATATTTTCTGGGTAACATTTGAAAACAGGCAACTCTAATCAAAAGAGATATAAAGAAAGAAACATCCCTCCCTTTCTTCAGCAAGACTTGATCATGTCCATCTGTGACTCGTGCAACCATCACTCTCAGGCTGGGTGTTGAGGAAATAGATTAAGCACCAAGTCAATCTGCTAAGGCTGTCAGAGAAAACAAAGCAAGGAGTTTCAGTCTCACGGTATTGTCAACTGCTGGACAAACTCTGATTTGTTCAACTCAGCTTAATTATCATGTGCAATAATAAAATGTTCCTTTTGCTTGATCTGCTTTTTCTTGGGTCTTCTCTTACTGGTGAGCCTTTTACCGTACAAGTTCCCTCTGAGGTCTCACGATATTATGGAAGAAGGTCTAGTTTCCTAGTATTATTCCCATACTCTCCTAAAATTAGACTTATCTTCCTTCAGCTTCTTGATGACACCACATGGATGTGTCTCTTCTCTCCCATACATCCCCTTGTCATTGTCTCTGTGTCTGGAAGCATCACACTATGCCAACTGGTGACAGTCTGCCTCCTCCATCTATTGACCTTCTCTTCTTTCATCAGAGCCAAATTCAAGCCATGACTACTCTGAAGTGATTCTACTTACCACTTCTAGCACCTAACAGTTCTCCATCATTTATTTCTATAGGTCTCATAGGTTATATCACATGGTTTATCTGAAAAACAGAGTTGGAAAGAATAAGAACCATGTAGTCTAACCTGCTGGGTGAGAATTTATTCAGGTAGCATATCCTGTGACAGAGATCCTGCCTCATATTAAATAGCTTCAGCATCAGAAAGTTCGCCATCTCACAAGGGCAAGAAGGACATTTTATTATTGCAATTCCTGACTTCATGAATCTTCAGTTCACATAACCATTGGAAACTGGTAAGAAGCTTTCAGGCCAAATTTTCCAAACTGGGAAGAGAAATTTTGATTCGTGTCATGTCATAGCCTTCATCTGACCCCATTGACAATGATGGTGGAATTATATCTGTCATTTGTTATCCAATGTGTGTTGACTGTCTAGCATGTGACAGGCACTGTGTTAAATGCCAGCAACATGGACTACACATGAGGCCATATCTCTGTCTTCCAGCTGTGGAAGAGATGTAAGGCTAGAACTCAACCTAGAGGATTCAGGGGGACCCATGCTTAACAGTTATAAGAAGTCACATTTTGTTTTAATAGAAGGAGTTTTTTAGTAGCACAATGGGAGTTGCATTATGGCCATGTTTGTCCATGAACATATGACCACAGGGAAAACTAACCATGTAGAAAGAAAGAAAACAAATGCAGTGATAGAAGGATCTCTGCAAAACATCCCAGAGTTGAAGGAAGAGCTGTAGTTTCCTGATGCAGTTGGCCATGAAGCCTGGCTATGCATCCAGCATTGTGGATCCATAAAAGAACACTGTATTTTATATCATAACAAATCCTCTGTTACTCTGTTATTTGCAACTCAGAAGGTGCCCAAGACTATTGTCTTCATCAGAGCATATTAGAAAACAAGAGTGCCAAGTCACACCTTTGGGACTTCCCAGACCACATGCTATCACTCCTCTCCTTCTACCTATTCAGAAAAATTGTCCCATATCCTCTTTCTGAAGCAATATATACTTGAACAGACCTAAAGTCATCCCCACTACTCCTTGGAGAGTCTCAACAAATTCCATGCATGTGAACTTGCACATGTTGCGTATCTTCCAGCTTATAGCTTAAACTGCAGATGCTAGTCTTCGTGAGTTAGTCCTCAACCAAAGGGCAGCTTTAGTCCTCACTTCCTTCTTCCCTGCCCAAGAGTCCTTGACTAACTTTCTGGCACCTTGTATAGTATTTTAGAACATTAACCCTTAAAGACCCTGACACAGTGTTTTTCCACCATAACAAACTCAAATTGTGCAGGCATCTAGAAAGCTAACAACTTCAAAACCTAAGAGTAAGTGACTATAAAGGCAAAGTGACAGGCTGCCAGAGATACCTTGGATAGATGATGGCCAACTGAAACCCCCAAAAACACCACATGGAAAAACACATGCTCCAGCAAATCACATACATGATCTTCATTCACTCATTCACTCATTCATTCACTCACCATCTATTGGGTATTACCAGACTTCCTGGATTCAAATCTTAGTTCTATAATGCAAGGTAATCTTAGGTCAGTGATTTCATTTCACATTCTAGAACCTACGTTCTTCTCCTATTAAATAGTAATAATAGCAGTATCTTTTTCATAGAGCTATAGTGATTATTTAGTGAATTAACACATAAAAAACCTTTAATCATACAGCACTGAATAGCTGTTGATTAGCATATCAGCTGAAATGAATTAAATTTGCTGCACTAACAAACAAGCTCCAAATCTCTGTGTTTTAAAACAACAAAGGGTTATTTCCCTCTCATTCTATTTGTTCAATATGGGTTGACTGGTGGGGACGGGGTTCTGGTCACTATAGTTACTAGTTTCTCAATAAAAGGCATTAGGTTTTATAATAGCAGAAAAAAAAGGACACTTCTCACTGGATCTTAAATGTGTTTACCCAGAAATGATCCAAGTCATTTCTGCTCCCACTGAATTGATCAAAGAAAGGCATACCTAACTTCAAAAGGAAGTATGATCTTACACATACAGAAGGAGGAGAACTGGAAATACTAGTGAGCACTCATTAGCACCCACCACAACTAAAATCATTCTGCGTATTCTGACAATGATTCCCCACTATATGTAATGATTCTATGTGTATTCATTCTCTATACCAGTCTCTATGCTAGCCATTTAAGATTCAAGATTAAGAATTTTCCCCTGAATCCTAGAAGTAACACTCTAGTGAGTAACACATTGGAATAACTCCAATCTGATACTTTTTGTAGCACACACTCCTGTTGGTTTACACCGGACATTTGGCTTTAATATCTCTGTGTATCTGTGTAGATCCTGAGAAGAGAACTAATTTTGAGGCTGAATGTAATGGACATCAAAATGCCTGCCAGCTTGTTCCATTCAGGGTCTCCATCAAACCAGTTGCTTGGCTTCTTCAGCTGGAGAAAGGTCTAAACTGACTTGTTAGTCAGTAGTAGAGAAATTTTGAATAACAGATTAGTAACTCTTCTGCTTCTTGGAAAACCAATGGGCAAAAGTTTTGTTTTTTTTTTTTTTTGTGACCAAGATTTGTGTTGTTTTGGAAGATATTACTGTAAACAGAGACAGCACTGTTAAAATGCACTTAGGAGCTTCAATAATGTGCAACAATTTTCTTAAAACTGCAAGAGAAAAAATCAACTGAAACATGAAAATTTAAAGCCCTATTACCCGCCTTTCACTCTGTAACATCCCACTTCTCATCATTTCTAACACGCATCTTAAGTGTGCTAATTGGAAAGTCTCTGCCGTGTATACAGCTCTGTTTCCAGGATGACAACTGCTCTGCTTTTATCACTGGGCTCAATACCAAGAGGGGAATCATTTTCAAAATTCAAAGCGTTTTGATCTGGTTGTGTCAACTGGCTGCCTGCACTCGGCTGGAATTCTGTCTTAGAGAAAAAACATGAATGTTTCAGGCAGTGGGGCTGAGGCTGGAAAAAGGAAACATCACTGAATGGCTGAGTGGGAAGAAGATGACTTAGACCTAAAAACTAAAGCAAAGTCCAATAACACACTCATAGGGCCGCCAAATTATTTACCCCTTTAGGAAAGCACACTAAATGTGTTGTAAATGTTTACTGAAAAGGAAATCATTAACTAATAAATCCCAGAAAGGAACACTCAGTCAGCATAAATACCACCCAGGAAAACAGAGACTTTCCCAGTTTACGCTCATCTCCTTCACAAGGACAAAAATTTGGGAGGAGATGACAGCTGATGTGTGGTCTGGCGAATGACTCATGCCTATGAAGAATTCTCAAAAAAACAAGATTAATACAAGCTTTTGGAAGTCACACTATGTTAGAGCCAAATCTACCAGTATCTTCAAGTTCTAGAGACCTGAACCCAGACACAAGAAGCTCTTTGGTTTCCCTCTGCACTAATGGTGTTCTGCACTAATGGTTCACGCATGTGGGATTAAGGCTAAAGGAAATCTACCAAACAGTCAAATGAAAACAGAACTGTAAATGCCAGGATCCCAGTGCCTTCCAATGGTGACAAATGGATTCATTGTTTGGATTAGGGGCTACATGCTTCAGTTGTCCCCATGGTGTTTAGCATAACAAAGATTCAGCATTTTGACCAAGCAGAGATTCCCTGGGACAATGACTAGAGGTCATATTTTCATCCTCACATCAACACAAACTACTGCGGCAAGCACAGTGTAATCAGTGAAAGGTAGCAACAAGCCACATAGCCCTGTCTTCCAACCAGGAATTTTCTTTTTTTTTTTTATTTTATTATTCATATGTGCATACAAGGCTTGGGTCATTTCTCCCCCCTGCCCCCACCCCCTCCTTTACCCATCCACTCCGCCCCCTCCCTCTCCTCCTCACTCCCTCAATACCCAGCAGAAACTATTTTGCCCTTATTTCTAATTTTGTTGTAGAGAGAGTATAAGCCATAAGAGGAAGGAACAAGGGTTTTTGCTGGTTGAGATAAGGATAGCTATACAGGGAGTTGACTCACATTAATTTCCTGTGCTTGTGTGTTACCTTCTAGGTTAATTCTTTTTGATCTCACCTTTTCTCTAGTTCCTGGTCTCCTTTACCTATTGGCCTCAGTTGCTTTTAAGGTATCTGCTTTAGTTTCTCTGCGTTAAGGGCAACAAATGCTAGCTAATTTTTTAGGTGTCTTACCTATCCTCACCCCTCCCTTGTGTGCTCTCGCTTTTATCATGTGCTCAAAGTCCAATCCCATTCCAACCAGGAATTTTCAACACGTAGTTGATGATGGGGGAACTTGGCATCACTGGACTTGCACACACAGGCATAGCCGCAAACGCACCTCATGAAAAGGGACTTTATATATTTGCTTGGGAAAATCAGTTCCCCAAGTGGACCTGTGGAGCAGCGAATCTCCATTTGAGATCTGTCCACAAGATACCACTATCTCTTTAGATGCAAACCACAAACACATTTGGAAAAAAATGGAAAGGAGATCTAGGCTTGTGCTGAATAGGAAAGACTGTGAGTAGGGAGCAGTGGTGCAAGAGCTTTATTGGCTGGCATGGAAATCAGTTGGGGTACTTTTTAAAATACAGACTCTAGCTGCCCCACAAGAGATATGATTGAAGTCATGTGGTTGAGATGTAGGCTTTCCAGGGACCACACATTAAGAAAGTCTGATCCATGTTTCCACCCATGGGTAGCACTGCAGACAGCAATAAGCGGACCTCTTTCAGGAGAGAATTCACACAGTCAGTCACATCCAGAGCCCCCACGGCACTGTTGACAGCTCTACTTCTTCCCACTGTAAGAGATGCTATGCTCTCTTTCTATCACTTGATCTCAGATTTACCAAGCCCTCAGCCTCTTGCCTCTTCTTATTCTGAAAACCTGATCCATGCTGCCCAGGTTGTCTGTAACATGAGTGATGCTTACACTGCCCTGTCAGACACTATTTTGGAGAAGCCTACCCTGCTTCCAAGAGCCACAGTGAGTTTCATCTAGGAAGTTCTGGATCCCCCCGGGCCATAACTGTGCTCACCCCAACCATGTTGTGTCAATCAGCCCTGCTTCTACCTGGGTTCCCTGCTAACTTGGAACAGAGTCAAAAAGAATAGAATGCTCACAGAACCTAATCATTGTTGAATGAAAATTATAAGATTTTGAGGGTCAGCTCCAGGGACACAGTGTCCCACTTGACCCCAAACTCACAGAACATCTGTCCCTGAGTTTCAAAGTCTTATAGTCACCTCTCAAGTAAACTAGGAAACACAGACTACACAGATAATCAGACTCCAAAGGAAAGTATGTGTGAATAATGGAAACAAACAAAATATAGATTCCAGAAGCTCTGTCAATAATTGCCAGCCTGATTCCCATTGCACCATTTAACTATAAATCCATACTCACTAAGGATTGTATCACAGATCATAAATACCTGTTTATATCATGTCACCATATCCAGAATTGTCCCCAGAAAATCATTAGCTAGCAAAGAAAGTTTGCAGTTTGGAAGGTAATAATAATGAAATGCTCTCTCTGCATTTCCTTCTCATGGTCAAAAGAGCAGAAAGAAATCTGTAAATATATATATTTCAACTCACAATCATAATATCTACCCCCCTTCCCAAAGACATGCTGCACGTGCTAATTTATACCAGACTACGAACTTTTTGTTTCATGCTACATTGATGTGCTTGACAGTTTTTCGAAGAGTTTATAACTGCAGCAGTGTTGATCTTATTTAAAGAGAATATTAAATCAAATCCCTTGTCATCGGCATAAAATCTCCTATAGCATCAACAAAAGGCAGCAGCTTTTATTGATTCCCTGATACAAAAGATGTATGAAGCAGACCAGTGCTACTTTGCAAAAAAAAAAAAAATCACAATTAAAGCCCCATGAAAACTATTAGTCATTGTAAAGGTCATCATCGACTTTTAATGACATCCTAAAGGGAAACAATATGCTCTGTTTCAACATCAAGGGCAAAGAGAATAAGATATTGTATTTCTAGGGTGGGCAGACCACAGGGTAACAAGAAACCTAAAATAAATACTTGATGTATCAAAAGGCAACCCTAATAAAGTATAATTCACACCACTCACTTCACCGTCCACATTTGTGATGAGGGAATTCTGAGGGGAACAGCTGATGCAAAATGCATGCAATAGCCAGAGATGCTCAGTGTTGCTGAATGAGCCAATACAGCAAGGGGAGCTGTGGTGGAAGGGAAGGGTGTTCACTGCCCCAGACTAGAGGAGGGGACGGGTTGCTAGATGGAGGTAGGGATGGGGGAGAAGGTCACCACCCTCCTAAGCCCTCAGCTTCCTCACTTGTGATGGAACTGACCTAGAATCCAGTGTGCTTGACTTACAAGCGAACGGGTTTCTTTTGCATGGTACCTCTAGTTGTTGGAGTGACATCTCTCTGGATGGCAGTGCCCTTAGTTCTTAGTTGAGAGAAGAACTATGTTGAGAAGGATTCCAAGCCAGCATCCAGGCTCAGCAGCTCCCCGGGTAGCAGGGGGAGCACATAACACCCAAGCCAGCTCCTGGCCCTAAAATGCTGAGACACTGTAAGGCACACCTAAAAACACTATAGAAAGAGCCTGGTTTATCACCAATTGTTTCATCTGTGAGAAGTTGCTACATGCTGAATTGAAAGTACTCTCCAATGTCCAGACTCAAGTAGACTATAAAGGAGAATGTGGTCATGAAATAACCAGGAACCAACCATTTAAATTCCATCTATGTCTGCCCACACTTGGGGGCTTGGTTTTCTCTTCTGAAAACCTCCTGTCAGAATGGAATATATTGTTATTTTCATCAAATGTCTTAAATGTATTTATCTAATAAAGAGTTCTAAGAACCTACCTCAGTACAAATAGCTACACATCCCAGGGTGAAGAAGCTGTCAGAAAGTCAACATGCACATTGGGTAGGAGCTCAGGACCTGGACTGGAGTTACCATACTTCCAAGCCCAGCTCTTTCATTTGGTAGCTGTGTAACCTCAGGGAAATTAATGAACTTCTCTGAGCCACAATGTTCTTATCCAGAAAATTGATGGTATATTCCACGCAGCATTGTTGCTGGGAAGGTACTCACACAGTATCTGCTTTAGTAGCACTGTCCCCTGCTCAGGCACCTCCTCAAAACTCCAGACCATGAAGGCAGCCCCTCACACCTCATCTTTCCTTAGAAGTTTCAAAGGCACCTCAACTTCAACATGTCCAGAGCCCAACCTGTAATTGTCTCATGAATTCTGCTGCCACCAAAGCAAAAGCAACTCAAAACCCTCAGGTACACTGAGCGTTCCTTGTACAATTGAACTTCCTAACTTGTGATTATGCTGCGTTGTATGAAGTTGCTATTTATGCAGATCAAAAATGGCAGAATGTTGGTAATCTTATGAGGATCAACTCAGTGATCGAAAGCCAGATATTGAGATTCATCTTGGACACCTTTTGTTCCTTCAATCCCATTCTGCCAACTTCCACCGGCTGGGTCTCTTCTTTAGATCTTCACACCTTCTGCTTCTGCCTCTACCACAACCACCCTAGTCCAAATCCCAGTTATCTTTCACCTGGATACCTGCAATACCCACCTAGCCATCATGGCCTCCACTGCTGTCTGTGCTCCATGTGCACTGGCCTTAAACCAGTTTCCAAATGTGCCACCTTCCTACTTGCTGAGAGTCTGCTCGTGTCATTTCCTCTACCTAGAACATCTTTCCATCCTTTTCTGCCCTCACACCTCCACATAAATATCCCTCTGCAGGCCAGGCCCCACAGTCAGAAGGAAAGTTTATCTGAAATTCTCAACAACCACCATCTTTGAAATTCTCAACAATTTTTAAACAAGGGATCTTGCATTTCCATTTGGCATTGGATCCTGAAAAATGAGGCAGCCAGTTTTGTCCTAAGAGAAGTCTTATCTGACCTCCCTGAATAGTTCAAATACTCCTCTCACTATCCACTGTGGGACCCCCACCACAGTCAACATTTTCATAAGAAAATGACTGTTTGAGTAGCTGTTGGATGGTTTCTCTTCCCCCCAGAATGTAAGCTCCATGAATCCAGGTTCTATGTCTGATTTTTGACTGCCAATTCCCTCACCCACAATCCCTAGCACACACCAGGCAATCAATAAAATTTGGCTGAATAAATGTGGTTTTATTACCATTATCATAACCGTTAGCACAAACACTATGAAGGATAAGAATTCAGCAGGAAAGAAACAGCACAGCATAGTGATAGATAATTCCAACTGAGTGCTACTAATAGAGAACACCCATTACTATGGAGTATGACTAGGAAGGGTGCAGGCATGGGTTGATGGGGAGTTAGAAGAACCTCTGTCTTAAAGGATGGCCACACCTGGGAGGGCAGAGATCAGGAAAGGGAGACTCCTCCAATATCATAGACAAAAGCACCGATGGAAGGTTGGGAATGGGAACTAAAGGTGAGTGGAACATTCCAGCACAGGGGCCTCTTTGCAGAGCACAGTTAAACTGTGGAAAACTTTTGTCCCAAACTAGGGAGTTCCCATTTTCCTACAGTGAGTATGGAGGCCTTAAATCAGTGTTTTAAGAAATTAAGGCAGTTCCTCATAAAGTCTTTAAAAGTGTGAACATCACTACCCAAATAATTGCATAAAGATGATTTTCTACTGATGTACAAAAAGGAAAAAAAAAAAAAACCACCACCAAAGATTGAGCACAGCACAACACCTTTTGTGGAACCGCAGGTTAAAAGGCGCCTGATGAAAACATGCTTTCCTATTACCCAAATGCACGTTAAGCACACCAGACTTTTCAAAGTGCTTTCACACACGCCACATATAAATGGCTCTCAGCCACCTCTGACGTACTTCTTCTCAATTGATCAAGTGTTTGGTCACCCCTGCTGACATCTTCCAGCTAGTACTGCCCCAGAAAGACATTTTCCAGATGAAAGACACATATGTATTTCTCCAGAAGGGAAGGACATCTCATCCCAGCTCTCCCGCATCAAAGGCAGAGACTGAAAAGGTGTTTATTCTACTCAGCGCTGTAGTTGTTGCCGCTTAAACTCACTAAGATGAAGGTAAATTTTCCTAAAAATAAGAAGAATGCCCTTTAGCAAATGAATAATTCACAAATGCCCACACACTGTGTGCCTCTGTAACAGGAACCCAATTGAGCAACACAAATGCTTATTGTGATGTACAATAACACGCAAATGCTGAAAAAGTGCACTTAACTCATTACTCAGAAATCTGTCCATTGCTTAAAATGGATAGCTACTTAATTTCAACTTGAAGACTATGAAAAATGGCATGCCTC